TAGTACGTAGTGCACGATTGGTTTTGGCTACTGCAGTAACCCGCGTGATAGCCTCAGTGCAAGCCCGGCGAATCACCTGTTCTCGAGAGTGATCAGGCGTCTCTGTCTGCTGTTCCTGATCCAGAACAGGCAGGTCGGGCAGCATTGCTGGCGGCCGCCCAAATAGGGCGCTGCATGGAGACACCTCATTGCAAGAAGTGAACGCGCCGGCGGTCAACACGGCTTCATGCAGTAGTCGTGTGAACACAAGAGGCATGTCCAACCTGTTGAGTTCAGCTGCTATGACGTGATGTCAATGGCGTAATTTGCCACTTCAACCAAGGGGCTCAATGACGCTAGCCGTCTCGCTTTCGAAGCCCTTAGATGGCCCCAGAGAAGCCCGAAAGGGGCCCGAGAGGCCCCCGAGACTGCCCCAAGAGCGCCCCAGATTGGCCCAGGAGCATCCCAAAAGGGTTCCAACTGGCGATGGGGCCCCCAAGGGACCCGCAAGAGGGCTGCCAGCGGGCCCCAAGAGCGCCCCGATACCTTCCGAAAGAGCCACGCGGACCCCAAGACCACCCAAAAAGAGCCCTTAGAAGACACCGAGAGGCGACGCAAAGATCTGTCCCACGCGGGCCCCAGGGATGGCCCGAAGAGGTCCTCCAAGGCCAATCCCTTGCTCCCAGAGATCTCTCCGTTCATTATGGTGTCCCGCCTTGTTTCAATAGATGTGCTGCGTCGTCATTTTTCTTGTCAGCTCTCATGGGCAACATGTCAGAGAGGGCCGGCGGGGATTTTGGTTCGCGAGCGCAACCGGAAGGGCCGCGCGCCGCCCAGAGTTACAGCTAACAAGCAGGAGCCGAAATTGCACGCGAAAGGGAGGAAAAGACAGACAACGAGAGAACAGCGGGAGGCGAGACAAGCCGGGGCGGGCCGCGCGGCGCTCACGGAGGGGGGGCCGTCGGCAGCAAGCAACCGCCGGAGGTGCACGCCAAATTGGCGGATAATCAGCTGGCAGCGCGGTGCCCCGCGACTGCGGCTTCGGGCAATCCCGCGGGAGATAGCAGAAGCCGCAAGCGCCTGCGCCTGCGCGAGGGGCAGCACGCGGGGGACTGAGCGCGGCAACGGCCATGCACCCCTGCATGGGGGAACAAGCCTTCAAGTGCGTCAAAGCCTCTGCGGGTGGCGGCGGAACGACTGAGTGGCGACGATCGAGCAGCAGTTCGCGCCGCGGGACAGGCGCGTCGCAAGCGGACTGATGGCAGTCAGCCGCGCGTCGACACCAGTGGAAAGGCCAGCTGGCACGCGGGCGATCGACGGAAGGAAGTCTGGATCGCCAAGACCGGCAGGGCGACTGAGGTGTCGGACCCCGCTCGGGGAGCAGAAGGGGACGCTGCCCGCGTGGGAGGGGGCGGACCGAGTGGTCGGCGGGCCCCGGGCAACGCTGATGGGGGTACTTTTTCGATCGCGACCGCGAGCGGACACCCGCGCGGCGTCGCAAGGTCGCGCGGACAAGGAAGGAGCCGCCACGCCGAGCCCGCGCCACACGGCACCGCGGGCGAAGCAGGAGGGGCGAAACGACGAAGAAAGCGAAGAGCAAGAGAGAGCGACAGCGAGCGAAGGAGGAAACCGAAAGAAGCGAGAAGAAGAAAAGCACAAACCGCAGCTCAGAGGTAAAGGATCGAGTAGGTGAACACACTGAACTTGTCGCATTCCGTGCACTTGTCGGAAGTGGGCGACCGGGAACTCAGAACCTATCCGGCCGACGGACGCCGAAACCTCGCGCGGCAAGGGCCGGGTGACCGCAGGGCCCAGGAGCAGTCAGCGGCAACGAAGAACGCGCCACTGGAAGCCCGAGCAGCGCCCGCACCGAAGACCAAGTCGCAGTACTCACGCCCGTCTCCAGTGCCACCGCGAGGCCGCGAGAGCGAGGGGGAACTGCCGCCCCGCGCGCCCCGGCGGGGGGCACGGGAGCCGGGGGCGCCCGACGGACAGGGGCAGCTGACAGCCGCAGGAAACTCGGTCAGCTTCAGAGGGGAGCGGCTGACAGCCGCGGGAAGGTGGGTGCCCACGCCCAGTATCGCCTGAGACCAGGCCCACGGCCTTGGGTGCGCAGCTAACAGCCGCGGGCGAAGGCATGGAAAGGTTTCGCCTGAGACATACTGGTGCCCAGCAGGGGTGCGGATAACAGCCACGGGAAAAGGGGAGTAGCATGGCCTGAGACGTGTCGCAGAAGTGGGGCGCGGCTGACAGCCGCTGGATGGTAGGAGATGAATCGCCTGCAGGCCGACTGGCGCGCGGCTGACAGCCGCAAGATGGTGGGGAAAGGTTCCGCCTCAGACTTGTCGTTGCACTGCCGGGGTGCGGCGCGCAGCCGACGGCTGTTGGAGAACGGCTTCGCCTGGGACACGTCGACAATGCCAAACCCGCATCGCACTGATGGGGTGCGGCTGACAGCCGCGGGAGCGTAGGAGATGGTTTCGCCTGAGACCGGCCAACGAACAGCTGGGGCGCGGCTAACAGCCGCAGGATGGGAGGGAAAGATACCGCACAAGACATGACGAAGCGCCTCTGGGGCACGGCTGACAGCCGCTGGAAGGTGAGAAATGGTTTCGCCTGAGACCTGCCAATGCGCAGAGGGGGCGCGGCTGACAGCCGCAAGAAAGTAGGAGAAGGTCCTGCCTGAGTCCAGACAGCGCATGGGGCGCGGTTAACCGCCGCGGGGTGGTCTTAAGAGGCACACTCCGAAATTTGCCGACACTGCGGGGGCGCGCCTAACATCCGCGAAGAGGTGAAAAGGAGCATCGCCTGACCAGCCAATGCGCAGAAGGGGGCGCGGCTGACATGCGCGACAACTTAGGAGAAGGTTTCGCCTGAGACCACTTGGCGCACGGATGGGGTGCGGCTTACAGCCGATGGATGATCTCGAGAGGTACGGCCCGAAACTTGCCGATGCTCTGCTGGGGGGGGCGCGGCTGACAGCCGCAGGAAGGTAGGACATGTTTCAGCCTGAAACATGCCGCCGCGCAGCCTGGGGACATTTGTTTTTGTCAGCGGCCGCGGGCGAGCGCGCCGGCTGCGAGTCAGGTCAAAGCGGGCCGCGCAGCGACGAATTAGACTGAAGCAACAGACAGGCCACACTTAAAGCGGCCCACCGGGGCCTCACGCGGCAACTCAGCGAAGGACCGGCGAGTGGCAAGGGCAGCTGAACCTGAGTCCTACTGCCAGCGTGCAAGTATGCATGGCGTCGGAGGCACCAGGAAGCTGGTGGGGATACTTGTTTTTTTGGTTGGCGGCTCCTAGGCGACCGCCAAGGAGCGAGAGCGACGTCCGGGGCGGCGGAACGGTGCGAATTTGCGAACACAGCCGCCAGTGTCGGCAAGCCAGCTCGCATAACTACAACAGGCAAGCACCTGCAGTAAGACATGCAATGAAAACGCACGTGCAATAAGCAAAATGCTCTTCTTTCGGCAGCGGAGAGTCGCCCTGTTGGCGCCAGTCCGCGCGGCCGACCTAACCCGGGCAGGTAGTACCAGGGTACCGCAGCCGTATCGATGTCGGCAAAAACAGGGGCAGAAGAGGCAAGAACCTACAGAGTGCTCACTCCGCGCTCCACACCGTTGCCCATGGTGGGGCCGACCAGCCAGCGAATCCGAAACCACTCAAAAGCCTGAACCACGATGATAGGACACGCCTACCCAAGCGTCAGTACTGCTGCCATCGGGTAACGGGTGAGGGTTGCCGAGGTACGCTGCAGCCGCAGCCAGCTGGAAGGCGTAGAGGTGTAGCCAAGACTGGACCTGCCACAACCAGACCACGATGAGAGTCGATGAACTGCAGGTACAGAACCGCTCACACACTCCGCGGACCGCTCCACAGCTGAGAGGGGGGCCGGCGTGTCGTCATCGTACCGATGCCAATAGTAGCTCGGGGTCGCAACGATGAGCAAAGACACGCTGGCACAGGCCGGTGTACTGCAACTCGCGGAGACCGAATGCAGAAAGGACCGGGCCGACGCGTTGAAGGCTGAACCACTCAGCGCGAGGACCGTCCCACCGCCGTGTGCGGGGCCGGCTGGGACATAGGCAAAAGTAGAATGGGGGTAAAACAGAGCCCTCACTCCACGAACCACGCTGATGCCCATGGTGGGGCCAGTGCGCCAGCCATCGTCTATGGACACAGCCAGGAAGCAACGATGGACGAGGACGCGAAGGCCCAAGCGCCAATACTGCCGCCACGCGGAAACGGCCGAAGACCGCCAAGAAACGCTGCAGCCGCGACTAGCCTGAGGGCGCTGGGGTGTAGTCAGGGATGAATCTGGCTGGTGGGGATACGCGAAGCTAGAAGAATTGATTTGCTGCGTCACGGCGAGCAACGCAACCGTTACACGCCGCTTCACACTACTTCGTAATCCTGGCTGGTTTAAGGATGATTCTGGTTGAACCACTGATCTCTGTCCTGGGGAGCGCTTAACTCTGCCAGTAGATAGCATGATGCGGCCAGAGCCGCAGCCGCGGCTGCTGTTGCTGCCATTAACACAGCCCCGCTACCATGCAAACCCTCGAGAAGGAATTGCACGGGAACGATGTGAAATTTAACCGTGGGCAAGAGTGGCGGTAACTCCACGGATCAGACACTCGAGTCAACCAGCGTCGGTGACGACGGCCGCTCGACGCACACACTAAAATTATGATCGCAAGAGCTTCTCAACCAATAGTAAGCCCATATTCTAACACCTCCGTCTCCTCCTCCTGGTCCTCCGACGACAGACAACGACACCGACGACGACGACGGACCGACCAACCGACCGACCGACCGACGACAAAGACGACGACGACGGACGACGACAACGATGACCACCAGTGCTGACGCCGACCGCCGATCGCCGCCCTTGCCGACTGAGGAGGCGGAGTACGTAAGAGGAATCTGGAGGAGGAACAAGAGGAGGAGCCAACGGACGCCTCCACCGATGACGATGACGACAACGACAACGAGCTCCCCCTCCCTCCCCCGTCGCGGTCATTAGGTCGTCCATCAACTGAACGTGGATCTCGGAATGCTCCTCCGTCGGAACGCGGCGGTGCAGGAGGGAGGACGACGTCGTTGTCGTCGTCGGCGTCGTCGTCGACGCCCGTCTTCCGTCGTCCCTTGCTGCAAGTACCGAGAAAGTCTGCGCGCCCGCGGCAACGTGGCTGCCGTCCGCCAGCGTTCCTCGTACAGTCTCCTCCTCGGCCACGGAGGGACGTCGCCGTCGTCGTCGCATCCCCGCGCGCGGGAGCGCGCGCAGTCGCAGCTGCAGGCCGTGAGCTGTGAGCGGCTGGCCTATGGGCACCTGCGTGATGGTCAGCCGGCTGAAGACCGCAGACCCCAGGCAAGAATGACCCTTGGTGCGCGGCTTCCCGGTTGTCGCAAGCGATCCTAAAATAGGGGCATGCGTGCTTGGGTTCAGCCCCCCCGCGCCCACCGGAAGCCGCGCGGACAAGATCTCCCCCCAGCGGGGGTTCGCGGTTCAAGTGATGGATGCACCACCAGACGTGTCATTAGAGCAGGCCGCACGTTTTGCTCGAGACTTCCTCACAATATACGTACGACCTCGAAGCTTGCAATGTCCAAACTTTACATGGATGGAAGACAAGTCGTTTTTTTATAACGGTGCTCTCGCCACGGTGATACGCACAGTCGTCTACAAAACTCCAACAACTACACGGATGGAAAGGGGTAGTTTTGAAGATGAGACTTTCGCCGCATAATCGTTCACATTTGTCGTTAAATATTGCAACAATTACACGGATGGAAGGCGGGTGGTCTTCAAAAATGAGGCTCTCGCATTAGCGCCGTGCACACACGTCTAAAACATTGCAACAATTACACGGATGGAGGGCGGGTCACTTTCAAAATGGGGCTCCCGCTTGAGATTTCCTCGACTTGCATGGCCGACGTTCCTGATACCCACCCATGTTCCTCATTCGTCTTCGCTGCTCTTCCGTCCCTTCCCTGTATAAACAACGCGTCCCTGCCGCACCCCCAGACATATCGGTAGGGCGGGCCAGGCGTTTCGCATGAGACTCCCTCGCTAATTATAATCCTGAAGCTGGAGAAATTGCAACTCACGGATGGAGGGCGGGCCGTTTTCAATGTGGTTTCCGCCTTGGTGCCGCGCGCATTTACTTGAAACGTTCGCAACAGTTTCACTGATGGAGTGCGGCTCTTTTCCAAAATGCGGCTCTCGCCTCAGCGCCGCACACACTCGTCGTAGAAGTTTGTAGCAAAATCATGGAATCGCATGGGTTTAACTCCCTAGAATGGTGTCTGACACGACTTACAAGGTTTGTAGGATTGCCAGGACGCAAAAGTCATGTTGATTCGCTGTTGAAGTCACCGGGATTGTGTTTTGGCGCGGTTTAGGACTATCAGAACGCAGCGGTTGGTCTGATTCGCGGCGCCGAAGTCCCAGGAGTGGTGTTTTGGCACGGTTGACGACGAAACGGTTGTATGCCAAAACAAGTTTTAGTCAGGGCCGATGAAGGGGGAAACTTGGAGGAAGCGTTTGTTGCAACACTGTTGATGCGTCTTGGGTATACTATACACAGGTCGCTCATCCGTTTCCTTACTCCTCGTTTTTCCTCACCCACTCTGATCTTCATCCTTCTCCTCCTGTCCCCCATCACACTCTGGAAATCGTGGTCCTCCTCACTCCTCCTCGCTACGCTCTTACTCCGGCTCGTTATTCTTCTCCTCGTGCCGACGCCATCCGATACTGGGTAAAAGAAAAAAATCGCGAAGGACACACAGGGCGCCACTACGACTTCGCTGAACCCGTAGAGCACCCCTGAGTAGCCCCTCGCCCACTGAGTGGCTGGGCGACAGTGGCGTAGGATTAGATGGCCCCACGTTCCAGCCAGGCACGGCACCCCTCAAGGAGGTCGTGTTACAAGGCCCGTTTCGGTAGCCGCTTGATGGCCCCACTGCCGTTGCGAGCACGGCAGCCCTCAACAACGTCCGTCTCATGTAGGCGCCGTGCTAACCTGGATGCCCACCCCTGTCGTTGGACAGGAATTGGCATCCGCGGTTCGTGCCTTGATGGCTTGGAAAAGTTGGCGTCCTCCCCTCGTGCCTGAAACTAACATGCCCATCCCTGCCGATGGATAGGCATGGGCACTCCACCCTCGCAATGAAGGCTTTGTCTGGCACACGAGAACTTTGACCCGTTTCAATGGCCATGCGAAGGTAATTCGCTGTTGCGGGCGAGGCAGCCTTCGACATTGACAGCTACAAATTGTCGTCTCGTTGGTTCGGATGCCCATCCCTGTCGACGGACAGGCATTGGCATTCTGATTTCGCACAGAGAGAAATGCTAGGCATCAGAAAGCTATGGTCCATGCAGTGACCGCGAATTGGCCATACTGCCATAGCGAACGCTGCAGCCTCCGACAGTGAAGGTGTCAAATAGGCGACGTTCTGGCATGGATGCCTTCCCTGTCGATGGACAATTGTTGGCATCCACACATAGTGCCTAAGGCTAAGATATCCATCCTTGTCGATGGACAGGCATGGGCATCCCGCCCTCACAATAAGGGTGCTGCTTGGCATACGAGCACTTGGCCCGCTTAGATGGCCGTGTGTCGGCCATATTAACGTTGCGGGCGCGGCGGCCTCCGACATCGACCGTGTCTAGTGAGGTGTTCGCTTGTTTGCCCAACCCAGTAGATGCACAGGCAGTAGCACCCGCTGCTCGTACCTGAAGCTCGGATGCTCATCCATATCAGTGGACAGGCGTGGGCATCGTGCCCTCGCATGCGGGTTCGTCAGGCATCCGAGAACTTCCCACGCCTCTGCGCACGCCCGGCATGCAAGCGCGGTCTAACAAAAAATATGTACGTAAACATACGTACACGCGCAATATATGCGCACATCGGCGATGTGCTGATGCATGGTCATCGGAATGTCCATCCGCATATCGCTGCCATAGACTGGGCGATAAATGAGACGTGCGACGCGCGAGCGTGAATAGTGGTATTCGCCAACCCCCCGATGGCGCACCGATTCCGTGACTGGGGCTTCAGCCCCACGGGCCGCCTGGGCAGACAAATCCAGCCCTCCCCAGACACCAAGTACCCCTTCCCCCCCTCTGGCCTGCTCAGGTGGCCCCGAGTCGGTCACACAGCTGTTGCAGGCGCGGCACAACATCTGGCCTGCGTGGGTGGCCCAAGAGGGGGAACGGCGCTCATCATCATCATCATCATCATCATCATCATCATCATCATCATCATCACCACCACCACCACCACCATCATCATCATCATCATCATCATCATCATCATCATCATCAGCATCATCATCATCATCATCATCACCACCACCACCACCACCACCACCACCACCATCATCATCATCATCATCATCATCATCATCATCATCATCATCAGCATCATCATCATCATCAGCAGCAGCATCATCAGCATCATCATCATCATCATCATCATCATCATCATCATCATCATCATCATCATCATCATCATCATCATCATCATCATCAGCATCATCATCATCATCATCATCATCATCATCATCATCATCATCATCATCATCATCATCATCATCATCATCATCATCATCATCATCATCATCATCATCATCATCATCATCATCATCATCATCATCATCATCATCATCATCATCCTCATCATCATCATCCTCATCATCATCATCATCATCAATTATCATCATCATCATCATGATCAGCATCATCAGCATCATCATCATCATTATCATCATCATCATCAGCAGCATCAGCATCAGCATCAGCATCAGCACCAGCATCAGCATCATCATGATCAGCATCAGCATCAACATCAGCATCATCATCATCAACACCATCATCATCATCATGTTCATCTTCATCGTCATCATCATCGTCGTCATCATCATCAGCATCATCAGCATCATCATCATCATCATTTCACCATTTCCATTATTTTATCATTTCATCATAACCACCCTCCTCATCATCATCATCATAATCCTCGTCCTCATCCTCATCCTCCTCATCCTCCTCCTCCTCCTCCTCATCATCATCATCATGCTGTCTCAGGCTGCTGTCACCCCCGCCCCCGCCCTCTCCACCATCCGAGCTAGGGGACTGACTGATGGACTGACTGACTGATTACGACCCGCTTTGCGCACCCTGTAGGTGCCGCGGGTTGGGGCAGAAGATCACACAAACAGTTAAACTGATGCACGAAACATCTCTTCAATAGTGTTCCATGCGTCCCGAGCGGCAACCTTCATCATAACATGAACGGAATCACGGGCCTCACGCGCACCAGAGAATATCATCCTTTCTTCTGGCATCAATAAGAAGGTAGGGGACGGGAGAAGTAAGAGGCTGGGGAGCGAAAGCGGGGGACAAAAAACAGGAACGACTCCTGAATGAGCCGATCCTTCTTGATTCAAGATCAGTCGGCATCGATTCGATGAATCGGATCGGATCGGGACTTGCGTTGGATCGTGCAGCATCAAAACCAAATCGATTTCGAATTGAATCGACCGCGCCAGGGTGCACATCAACGCAATGCAAGCACCGGGTCGCATCGGATGGACAGAACATCGAAATCGAATGGGATGAATCCCGCCAAAATCGACGTGGAATCGGATCGGCCAGATCGAAATGGACCCCGTGGTTTGGTTTGGGCCCCACGCCCCGTAGTAAGAGCGTAGACCAGCCCCCCGATGTCTTGACCTGTTCAATACACTGGGGTACCCAGACCTCTCGACGACTCCCCAGGGACCGTTTTTTCGTCCAGCATTATTTCTCATTGTCCCAGGCCCAGAAACAGCCTCCACACGCCAAAATTTGCAACAAACCTTCATCCTGAGTTTCTCAACATGTGGGAGGTCTGGCCTCCCCAACACAAGCGCATAGAAGAAGCGGGTGTCCCTGCTGGATGTGAGCTGTGTCAGGTACACGCCCGCGTGCAGGTCCAGTGCGAACGCCTCTGATCGGTGTCGGCGCGCCAAGCCAAGACACGGTTTTCACGTGACCGGCCCGACGAGACGCCAATCGAGCTGCACAGGTGCATGACGGCAAATGCAGATGGCAGCAATTCAGTCACCGAGACTTTGAAAGGCACACCTGGTCGCAAGGAATCAAACACGACACACACACACACACCCTCAATCGAATTCTTGACGCGTCGCGTATCCCCACCAGGTTCCGTAGACTGGCTCAAGCCGTCTCTGGGCCCTGGCCCCTCGGCCGGGTGTCCCAGCCCAAGTGGGTATCCCCTAGGAGTTTGCTGGCCACGCGCTGCCCCCGGGCCGCGCTTGGCCATATCAGACTCCCTGGATTACACCTCCCCCAGCGGCGCGGCGCGGCAGCCAGCCTGCCAGGTCAGGCTTAGCATGGATGGGAACCCGATCCGTGACAGATCTAGGATCCCTGGGAACCCTGCGGGTGAAGATGGAAGCCTAGTCGAGGGCCAGGGGGCCCACGTACTGGCTGGTTCAAGTCCTCCTCCCCCAGGATCACAGGATACCATCCCTCCAGGGCAGCCGTCGCCCCTCGCTCCTTGGGACCCTCCGGGCTCGATCGGCCTGATCGCGTCCGAGGATCCCTTGATCGTACCCGTCAACACAGCAAAAACACGAGAACAATCGGCCTTCAGCTGGACGGAAGTTGAGGGTGCCACGGTGAGTGCTGCGAGACACAATGACACTGCGCCGTTCAGTCGCTTCCCTGGGATTGATATTGACAGCAATGACTCTTTCCCGCCAGATCTGTTTCCCTCCCTTACCCCGACGCTTCCTCTGCCCCTGGCTGGGCGTCCAATCTCCTTCTCTCCTGGCGGTGAAGGGCAGGATTGGATCGCGCGCGGCGATAGGAGTAGCAGTAGTAATAGTAGTAGTAGTAGTAGTAGTAGTAGTAGTAGTAGTAGTAGTAGTAGTAGTAGTAGTAGTAGTAGTAGTAGTAGTAGTAGTGTAGTAGTAGTAGTAGTAGTAGTAGTAGTAGTAGTAGTAGTAGTAGTAGTAGTAGTAGTAGTAGTAGTAGTAGTAGTAGTAGTAGTAGTAGTAGTAGTAGTAGTAGTAGAGTGTAGTAGTAGTAGTAGTAGTAGTAGTAGTAGTAGTAGTAGTAGTAGTAGTAGTAGTAGTAGTAGTAGTAGTAGTAGTAGTAGTAGTAGTAGTAGTAGTAGTAGCAGCAGCAGCAGCAGCAGTAGTTGCAGTTGTAGTAAGTAGTAATAATAATAGTAATAATAGTAGTGGTAGTAGTGTAGTAGTGAAAGTAGTGGTAGTAGTCGTACGTAGTAGTAGTAGTAGTAGTAGTAGTAGTAGTAGTAGTAGTAGTAGTAGTCGAGTAGTAGTAGTCGTCGTAGTGTAGTCGTAGTAGTAGTAGTATTAGTAGTAGTAGTAGTAGTAGTAGTAGTAGGTATTAGTAGTAGTAGTAGTAGTAGCACTAGCGGCTGTAGTAGCAGTAGTAGTGGTAGTAGTAAGTAGTAGTAGTTTAGTAGTATAGTAGTAGTAGTAGTAGTAGTAGTAGTAGTAGTAGTAGCAGTAGCAGTAGCAGTAGCAGTAGCAGTAGCAGTAGCAGTAGTAGTAGTAGTAGTAGTAGTAGTAGTAGTAGTAGTAGTAGTAGTAGTAGTAGTAGTAGTAGTAGTAATAGTAGTAATAGTAGTAGTAGTAGTAGTAGTAGTATTAGTAGTAGTAATAATAATAACAATAATAGTAATGGCCCTTCCTAGCAAAGTGAAGGAAGTGGTATATTCCTGCTTCGGATCCCCAAAACCCCTGAACGGCGATCAGGCTGGAGTGGGAAAGAAGGGAAGCGAGGTACTGGCACTTTTTGGCGCGGAGGTGGGAGTCGCGGTGGAAGGGGGAGCGGGAGTTCCAGGCCACGATGCCGATCGACGATCGCTGCACACTCACGGGCCTTGCCGTCTAACAAAGAACGCGCTAAAGACTCCACTCTAGGCCAGCAGCAGCAGCGGAGAACAGAGGTTGAAACTTGCGCTGCAGCTGGCCCTTGTCCCGGCTGGCAGCGCGCAGGCTGGCAAGTGAGAACTCAATCTTCGGCTCTTCAGCCCCTTGCATGGGCGTGTACTTGACCAAGAGCGTCCAGTGGAGGGTGAGGATGCCTTTCTCGCGATCAGTGTATAAGCGGGCGTCAGGGGAGAGCTCCTCGGCCGCGCGCTTGATGAGCTCGATGCCCGTCTCGCGGTGGACAATGAACGGGTTCTTGTCAGGGGACGCGAAGACCTCGAAGGTTCCTCCTGTCGGGAGGACAGCTGCCACGCGGCGCCATCAAGCGCTGCGCCCTGGGAGGCTGAGGGCAGACATGCACATGGCCACCTTGCGAGCAGCATGCCCACGAGCACCTTGGAAGCGCAGCGACCAGCGCTTGGCAACCTCATCTCCATCCAATACGATTTCAGTTTCTTCCATAAGCTGTCTGCATGAAAACGATGGCGGACATGACGTCGGACTTTGACTTGCCAACGTACTCACGAAGCTCCTGAGCGGATTCTCCAGAAGGAACGGCAGGGAAAGCAGCAGCAGAGCCCGCGGCACCAGATGATCACGCCCCAGCACGCGGCGAAGTCTGGCGAGACTGCTTCGGGGGGGAGCCTCTTCATGTGGGCTCTCGAACCGATCACTGGCAGGCATCGCGTCGTCTTGCTAAGTACTCTTAGCGGACACCCAAACGAGATGTGTCAGTGAGTGAAACAAAAGCTAAGCAGGGAGACCTGAGAGCCGGCTGCCTCCGCTGCAAAGCGAAGCTGTCCTGGCCAGAGCCTTGCGGAAATATCTTACTTGAGCCAAAATGGCTTGAGCCAAAAGGCTACGGATCTCGTCCTCCTCCTCCTCCTCCTCCTCCTCCTCCTCCTCCTCCTCCTCCTCCCCCTCCTGGAAACAGCCTGGTACATGTCCAGCAAAACCTGTCTCTGCACCTCGGCGACGCGCGAAGGAGCGGCCGCGGGGGCGGTGTGGCAGGGCGCGGCGGCCCTCTAGAGCGGCGGGGGGAGGCTTCTCGGAGGCATCAGGGCCCTTTCGAGAAGACCCGGAAATCAGCGCGGAAGCTTTTCACTGTTCTCCGCCTCTGGGGGCACTTGCCGGGTATGGCTGGGCCCCGGGACTACTCGGGATGAAAAACTAATCCTGGGGAAAGGGTCACGAAGGGAAGGGAGAAGAACGACGAAAAAACATCGGGAGACAACCCTTCCCTCGCCCCACCCCCAACCCAAGTCTGTTCAAAACCGGGCACCCCAGACCCCACCAGAGGTCCACCCCGTCCAGTTTCCCGAGCTACGCCCACCCGTGACGACGAAGAGCTTTCAGAGCCGCCCGATAAACTTCACAACGGCGACGTTGGCGTCGAGGACCTCGAGAACGCTGGAAAAACATAACGGCAATAATCGGAGACCTCGAGCTACCTCGAAAAAAGCATTGATCGCCGCCGTCGCTCTCACTGCCGAGCTGACGAACCTAGCGACGAAAGCCTGAACGCCGACATGTGCGTCGACGACGACACCCAAAAATGGCGACAAGAGCCTCCAGGAAAATTGAATGACTGACTTCCAGCGTGGACCCTAAACAGTGGCTTCTTGCACTCTCGGTGTGCACTCTGCGTGGTCGATGACAAGCCTGAGGTGCAAGCTATATGGTGAAAGCTGTGAGGTGCATCGCATGCGGCGCGAGCTGTTAGGCGCAGCTTTCGAGGCGCAGTATGTGTGGTGCATACATGGTGCGCAAACTATGTGAAGAAACTCTTGTGGTGCAGCATGTGTGGCACAATATATGTACACACACAGAAGAGTTATACATACACACACACGCGAGAGAGACTGCAATTGTGCTTCGCACCATGCACCTGGGTCCTTCAAGTTTGGTATGCGGACGGAATGACAGCGAAAGAGGCAAACAAGCAAAAATAACGATAAAGTAGTGTTGCCATGTTCATCCTCGTGATAATATATGTCGTTCCTTCCCCTTCTCTCATAATTGCTATTCCTCGTCCTCGTGTTCGCCTTACCCTGCGAACCCTTCCCCGTTCTGTCCAGTTTTTCTGGCGGTTCCTTCTTGGAAAGCCGTTTGGGGGCCTCACGAAGCCTTAGGAGGTTCCAAGGGTTCCAGGGCGCCTTTTCGGTGCCTCTGGGGTTTGCCTCGGGCCACCTTGGCGCGAACCACAGTATCCCTCAACAACTGGATCACGATCTGGAATGCTTCGGGGGGCCTGAGGCCATCTTGGGCCGTCACGGGACCCTCTTCGGGCCATTTTGGGGCCCTGTTGGGCTTTCTTGGAGCTCTCTTGGAAGATTTCGCGAATTTGGGAACGACCTTCGGGGCCTCTTGGGCGTTCTCGGACGATTCCTTCGGGGGTCTCACGGCGCGTGAATTTTTTCCACCCTTTAATCCCCGCCACCGGGCCCCAAATTGCGCGTTTTGACCGGGAGGGGAGGCCGCGGGTCACACCTCTCCTGGCTCTTCCAGGGGCTGCCAGGGCGCCAAGACCGCCGTAGAGGCCCCCAAGACGGTGACGGCTCCAGATCGACCGAAGACAAGTCAAGCAGCCTCGAGAACGCCGAAAAGGTTCCCAAGACGTCTCACAAAGGCTCCAGGGGAACCCCCCACAGGGCGCCGAAAGGCAAAAGTTCATTACAAAAACGCATGGTTTCTGTGTGACTTCAGCGTTGCGAAGGCCTCTTAGACGATCCAATGGGCTCCCAAAATCCCCCAAAAATTGCCGAAGAGGCCTCCAACACGCACCCGCACCAAGACACCCCAAAGAAGCGCCCAAACGAACCCAGACAGGCTCTCAAATGCCCCCAAGATCTCCCCGCGCGAACTCCCGGAAGAGCCGCCCAATTCCTTATAAGGCACATAAAAATCACTGAATGCAAACACTGTTCGTGAAAGAGCGTCTGAGGCGACGACGACGACGACGACGATGCTCGACGAGGCTCACCACAACGTCACCGTCTCCGACGCCGCCGCCGAACGTGCCGCGGGAGCCACAGAGCGCCTCCTCTGGGTCCTCCCTTGCGCAGCTCGGCGGTACCCGGTACTCTCGCCTCCACCGGCCAGCCCGCAACTAGGGAGGGGGGGAGCGCACCAGCGCACGCGGGGGGCCGCACGAAAGCAGGGGACAGAGGTCTGGAGCCGAGGCCCCGCGCGGGCTGGGCGAGAGCCAGGAGAAGGAGGAGGAGGAGGTTTCAGATTCGAGGATCGAGATGTTGGATGCTTATGAACGTTTTCCAGCCTCGTGGAGGCTTCTCGTCGCCACCGCTGGATACGCCTCGAATTCTGGTCTAGCCGGGACGCATCGCAGGGGAGGCGCTGGGGCCGATTGTTGGGTGAAGAGAAACAGGAGGCGGACCGAGGAGGAGAAGAAGGAGGAAGGAGGAGGAGCAGGAGGACCTCGTTCCTCCTCCCGCTCCTCCTCCTCCGAGTCGGATGAAGCTGCTGCAGCGGTGGCCGAGGCTCGGACGATCGTGCTGCAGCTGCAGACCGAGACAACGGCGCTGGTGGCGTAGGCGACTCGAGCAGAGCATGCGCTAGGTCCTGGACGGGCACTTGCAGGACATCCAACAGGCTTTCTCTCCCACCGTTGCTGCGGCTCGGGTCGACGGCTGTGGCGGTCCTCCTGCTGCTGGTCGTGCTCCTGCGCCTGCTGCGAGCCCCTCGAGTAAGCCGTGAGCTTTCCGATGCTTGAAAAGGAAGACGAGCAGATGGCTGTTGTGCGGGCTGCGGCCATGAATGCGCCTTCCAAGGTCAACCAAGAGGCCCAAGAAACAACAGGCACCAGCAGGGGCAGCAGCTGCTCAACAAGTGCCAGCGGAAGATTACCATCGCTGCTGTTGTTTACGTCATGATGATGGAACTTCCAGGCATGGAGTAGACAGTGACTGCTAGAACAATCCTCATTCCCCATGTGGCAAAACCCGCAGTGGACGCAAGCACTGCTCACCGCCCTCTGGCGATCGAGGGTACCGACGTCCACAGCGGTCAAGCGTCGCCACAGGTTTTGCTGGCCCCTGTACTTCACGAAATTGGTACTCCCGTACGCGCGGTCGACGTAAGGCCACGCGATCGTCGCGGCGCCGGGCAACCCACGCGGCCGGCCCCCACGGCATCTTACGGCTTGGGCGGCCCTTATTCCAAAGGCAGGGTGCAGACGGCTACCACGGATGAAGACGTTGTTGACCAGTTCGACTGCTCAGACGACCACGGCGGCTGCGAGGGTGTGACGCGCTGGTGCCTCCAGGTGCTGGTTCGAATTCGCATGGAAGGCGAGCGCGGTGTCTGTCGTCGTACGAGGCCGAAGCATGCTCTGACTATCCACTGGCCGCGGCGAAAGCGGCAGAGGCGCCGCCGCTGGGGGCAGCATGAGGGGGGCGGAATCTGTGCCTAGGACCGATTGCGGTCTACGATCTGAGGGCGCGTCGTCTTACATCAGGAGGGGCGGCGAGTCTGACGGGAACGGCACGGTGAATTGAAGCGCGCGCTGGCGGCGTCCATGAGTAAGGACTTTCAGAGACCCTGCATGGCCATGACGGCGATGCATGGGGCCAACCGTCTTCGCAGGGGTCGAACGGGCGCCTCGCCACCGACTGGCGGCAAGGCCTGCGGCGCTTCGCACTGCAGCCCCAGCAGCCGATGTTCCCACTGGTCGCGTGCCCGCGAGATACCCACAGCTTGCGTGGCCGCGAAGGCGGTTGCCACGGCTGGCGCGGCCTCCTTCGTGGACTCGTGAAGGCTCCTGGACACGCAGGCTAACCCCCACTGAGGGCGCGGTCGTCACCGTGAACGGTCTAATGTTTGACTACTCGGCGGAGCTTGCGAAGCATGTGCGAGTGGCGGTGACCCAGGAGCACCGCGTGAGCAAGATGCAGAATCACCTTTCCGACCTGGGCCAGCACGGGGCGCGGGCAGAGGCTCAGCAGACGCCCTCGGGAAGCACGAGCGGCGGCGTGGCGCTGCCCGCTCCAAAGTGCATGGCGTTGTCCTCCCCACCAGCCTCGGAGCTCACCACGTCTGCACCAGAACGTGCAATTGCGGCAAAGATGCACAGGAGGATGCCCCAAGGGTGGAAGGAATACGGTGGCGCCGACGCCGCCTGGCCCCCCACCTTTGCTGCAGGCTTTTCGAGCAATCCACGATGGGCCATGCGAGCCGACCTGTATGTAGTCCTAGCTGGGCACACCGCCTCGACTACATCGTCGCATCTGCCAACTTGGCTTTCAGGCTGGGCTGCAGACCGACGGTTGACATGAACTCTGGCCTTCTCCCACGTCGGCCAATCCGTCTTAGGGCCCGTGGCAAAGACTTTCCGACGTGATACCCTGCTGCGAAGGAGCCGGTGTCGTTCCCAGCGGCGCCGCCTCCTGGTTATGGGAGGTTTCCATACCTACGGGGAGGCGTGCTGGCAGAATGCCACGCGGCAGGTTACCGAGAGGAGCTGGGTGCTGTTGTGGGACGCGACGCTGACGCGCATTTGGGCCAAGATGCCCGCTCGCACGGACAACGCGAACAAAGAGGCGAAGTCCCACGCGGGCCGCCCTGGCCCATCCGAGGTCACCTGGCAGCGGCTTCGTTGGGTGCCGAGGCGAAAGAGGAGGTATCGTGGCGACAGTGCCGCGCGCCACTGAAATGTGGCTCGGCGGTGGATGCATCCCCTCAGCAAGACCCGCGACCTGCGACACAAGCAAGTCAGCAACATGCAGGAAGCGTCCGCCCTCTGCGAAATGATCCCCTATATTTTGGGAACGGGGAATTGTGGAATCCTTCGCCTTTTGGAGAGTGTTTTCGTATAGTTGCTCGTGAAGTCTTCGAACATGTTCCTTTTCTTCCTTTTCCTCCTTTTCCTCCCCCTCTTCCTCTTACTTCCGCTGTTCCTAGTCCTCCTCTTCCCCCTTCTCTCACCTCCATCTCCTCCTCCTCCTCCTCCTCCTCCTCCTCCTCCTCCTCCTCCTCCTCCTCCTCCTCCTCCTCCTCCCCCCAGATTCTAGCTGCCTGCTTCTCCTGCACCCCCCCCCCCAAAAAAAAAGGCGCGGCCCAAGGTCATGTTGTTTTTGTTGTTGTTGTTTTTGGGGGGGGTCCTCCTCCTCGTTCGCGCTGCTCCGTTCCCTCCTCCTGCTCCTCCTCCTCCTCCTTCTCCTCCTCCTCCGCATTGCCCCAGAATGTAGCTTCTTGCTTCTCCTGCACCACCCCCCTAGTATATACATATCTATATAAATATATATATAAATATAAATATACAAGACTGCATTGGCGCTTCGCGCCATGCACCTTGTTCCTTGTGAGTTCGAATGCAGGCGGCGTGCGCGCGCGTGGACGCGGGGCCGGCCAACGCCAAGTCGGAGTGGGTCAGAATCTCATAAAAAAAGAGCGACTTGACAATGCCAGCTCTGGCCAGGTCAGGGCGTTTCTGTGCCCAGAGGCGCGAGTAAGTCTCAGGCGACTAATTGGGGTAGTGCTGATCTCAGGGCCAGTCGGGCCCAGTACGTGTTAGTGCATGTGTATATGTCTCGCATGCGTGTCGAATGTGCGTGTTGATGCTGCAGCAGTTTGGCTTGCCACAGGAATGGAAAAGAGAGTGTGGGCACACCCACCCTCCTCGAAGCCCAATCTGCATTGGTAGAGCGGAGCGTGCCGCGCGATAGCAGGCGCCGTCGCACCGGGAGGCACTCAGGTGAGTGCCGGCGGGACGCCAGACGGTGAAGATGAACGCGGACAATGGAGGGCCCGGCGGTGCGATCAGGAGGTTCGCAGGGACAGAAGCCGACGAGTTCCGGGACTACTGGAAGAAGTGGGCAAGGGCGTACCTCATCGTGCAGAAGGCGAAGGGAGCGCCAACAACGGCCCTGGGGCCGATGCTGTTTACGCTTCTGGACGACGTTGGCGCCCGAGCGCTGGAGGTGGTCGACATAGACCCTTGATTCGCGCTTCCCTGACGTGGCAGCTCATGATCGGCTGGGAGAGGCGTTGAAGGAGGTGTTTACGGTTCGCCTGACCAAGGGCGAGTCGATGGCGGCGTACTGCGGACGTGCCCAGGCGGCGTTCGCCAAGGGCGAGGCCGAGGGCGTGGTGCTGCCGGACATGGCGCGCGGGTATCTGCTGCTGCTGGGAGCTTCTCTGGCGCCGCAGAACCTCGCGGTCGTGCTGGCGGCCTCGGGACGATCGTACAAGGAAAAGGACGTGGCGATGGCGATCAGGACGACCTCCCCCAACGGCATGGCGGACTTCGGACAGCAGTCGAAGGTCTATGGCGCCCACGTGGCGGAAGAGGCCGACGAGAGCGAGGACGGATCGGACATCGCCGTGCTGCTGGTAGGCTACGACGCGACCGAGACCGAGGGCGATGGGGACATTGAAACGAGAGTGAGGCCATCGAGATTTTGGTGTCGTGGCGAGACCAGCGGAACCGGATTTCGAAGGAGCAGCTGGCACGAGTTTTCGGCCCCAAGAGGCCTGACACAAAGGCCATGGCCAAGAGAGTGAGATGCTATAACTGTGACGAGGTCGGCCACTTCAGTCGGGACTGCAAGAAGCCTCGACGACAACGACGGCCACCGCCACGAGACTCCAAAGGAAAGGGCAAGACCGACGAGAAGCGCGGGGACGTGGTCACGATCATCGAGAGCGACTCCGACGAGGGGGTCCTGGTGGTGGACGACGACGACGACGACGACATCGCGGAAGGAGATGAGGAGAACCTCCAGTGTGGCCTGTGTGAGAATGAGCTTCAGCAGCCCCAGTACGACAATGAGAGCGACTGCGGTGACGAGTACGAATACGAGCTGACTGCTGACGAGGATGACGAGGACCATCAGGCCATAGACGGTCTGTGCGAGGCGTACGCGGCAATGCAGGATAAGATGGATGAGGTGATCGAGGCGTACCGCAGGTTGACGACGGACACCGTCGAAGAGGAGACCTGCCCTGAAGCTCTGATCGCGTCCGCGCACGAGCCTGGCTCCGGCGTGATCGATACAGGATGCGGCAAGGGCGTCATCGGAGAAAAGACGCTCGAGGACCACAAGGCGGAGATGAAGAAGGCAGGCCTCTCGGT